CAGCGGCAGCGAGGAGTGCGGCGCGCGTGACGGGGAGACGGCGCTGCGGGCGAAGGACCCGCTCGCGGAGGGCCTGTTCTCCACCAGGGACGTGATTCGGCTCCGGTGCGTGTGTGCGTGTGTGTGCGTGTGTGCCCGCGCGGTCTCGCCGTGTCCGGTGTAGGTGGTGGCTGACCCGCCTTGCGTTGCAGCGAGCTCGGTCCGCTGGAGCGCCCGATGGGCCCGGGCCCGTGAGGCGGAGTGGGGTTGGGGGTTGTTGTACGATACGAGAGGTGTCTTGGTGCAGGGGCTTCCTGTTCGTAGTGCGTGTGCTTGGATGTTACTGTAGCCCATGTGTAATCGCTGCTGCTGCTGTGTCTGTGTGCGGCGCCCCCGGGTGCACGCTGGGGGTGCTGGTGGTCCGACCGTCGCCGTTCCGACACGTTCTGCCTGGACGAATACGCGCTTTTCCGCCCGCGGGTGGTGGGATGCGGGTGGTGCGGCCCCTCGCGCTGGGCCGCGCAGCCCGTCCGGAGTACTGGAGATGTGACAGCACCCCGGCACCCCGTCTCGACAGCACCACTGGCAGAGGCGCGGCGTGGGCGACGGGCGCGCCTGAGGGCGTAGCCGCTGGACTGGACTGGACTGGACTGGACTGGATTGGCTGGCTGGCTGGCCGGCCGGCCGCCGTCCAGCGGGAGGCTAGCGATCGACGGTCACACACAGCTCAAAACATCGGAAATAAGTACACCATGTTTGCACGCCGTCTCGTCCGGCTGGACATGAAGCTTGAAGAGCCGCAAGAGGCTCGGCAGCCCGCCCGAGCCCGGGCTAGTGGTTATCCAGCCCGAGAGACCGTCTGGGGCTTGTCTCGAGGCGAGTGGCCTTCAACCACATACGCTGGCGGGGAACAGCCCAGTTCTCTCATGTCCTGCTCAGGCGGCGCCGGTGTGAGTGATGGCTGTGATCTTGTTCCGCTAAGAATGCGTGCGGCCGAGATTGTCCGGACGTATGGGCAGAATTAGAATCCCAGAGCGCGCGCACAGCGGCAGGGTGGACCACGGCTTTGAGAGGGGAACGCTGTCCGGACAGAGTCGGCGTGCGAGCACACAGCAAGTGCCAAGCGCGACGCAGCGGTGGAGTCTGCGCAACGGCTGGGGCGCGCGAACAGTACTCGATCTGACCAGATCCCTGAGGTCAGCTAGGGGACAATGTGCTCTCTGCAGCCACAGTTTGGCTACTCACCTGGGGATATCTTCAAAGTGTGAAAGAGAGTCCGCTCTCCTTCCCTCGTGCCTACCAGAGATATAAAGCCTCCCGCAGATCTCTCCTAAAGCTCGACGGACACCCCAAGAGCGGGTGTCTGGGATAGGATAGCACAGCGCATATTGATACCTCACTGTTCGGCCTGAGCCTAGCGGGGTAGCCCGCTAGACCAGTTGACCCACTGGGCACATGCCGGTGTGAGGGAGAAGGAGACTCGACAGACCACTACGCCACGTTTGGGATACCGGTCAACCCCCGTGGTACGCTTTAGATTCCAGGATTGCTAACCTCGGTTACATAGAGCTCCGGATCGAGGAGGAGTCAAGGAAGAACAACCGAATCGCTGCGAGCTTGGTGAACCGAACCGAACCTCTGCGAGTTGAATCGGATTGGTCATCATGTGACTGGATGCCCGATATGAATGAGGTCCAGCGACGGCTCAGCGACGGCTCACGTCGACCGACACGGACCGTCTGCGACACTGACCGACCAGCTCGCCTCGTCGCCCCAAGTAGGAGGCACTACGTCGCGACACATCCCAGAGGCGATCCCGCTGACGACACTTGGTCGTCCCCGTTCGCCTGACTTTGACCTCGCTGCCTTTGCCATGAAGTTCAGGTGCGTGCCCTCGCCCGGGCGTACCGAATCCACCTCTTCACGCCCACCCCCCACAGCTCGTCCCTGAAGTTCAACGCCGTCCCGGAGTGGTGGGACGACTACATTTCGTGAGTCCCCCGGTTCGGTCCGCGCCTCGCGCCTCGCTGACGGGCAGCAGGTACGATGCGCTGAAGAAGACCGTGTACCAGCTCGAGAAGCAGCAGATGGGCCTGAGCGAGTCCGCACACGACATGGCGGACCTCGAGGCGAGCGAGGAGACCGCGCTGATGGGCCACGTCGACCACGCCGCGCTCGACCGCGCGTTCGTCCCGCTGCTCGACCGCGAGCTGCGCAAGGTGTGCCGCTTTTACGACACGCAGGAGCAGGAGCTCCTCGCGGAGGTCGCGCAGCTCGAGCGCCTCGTCCAGCAGCAGGAAGAAGTCGGCCCCGATGCGGATTACCGCTACATGGACGTCGATACGGAGGACGAGGACGACGAGGAGGAAGACGAGGACACGTTCGATGTTGGCAGTCCTTCCCTGAGCCGCGATCACACGCGCTCGCCGTCGAGGCGCCCGAACAGAAGGCACGGGAGGTCGCTGAGCAGTGCGGCGGGCGGTCCGTCAGGTGTGTCGCGGCGTGCTGCGTTCGGGGGAAGACGGCCATGACGACTTGCTTGCTTGTCAGGTGGCGCCCGGAGGATGGACACGACCCGCAGTCGTCGGTATAGTATCTCCTCGGTAGAGGACCACGGCGACCTCGAAGCGAGCATCGCATCCCTGCGCTCGCAGCACTATGAGCAGCACCCGAACCCCACGGCGGGCGCGCCATCCGAATCCCCCAAAGCGACGGCGCGCTCAATGACGAACAAGATGAACCGCGTGCGAGATAGCATCGTGTCGCTTGGGGCGCAGTCGATCCCGCAGCCGACGGTGTGGACGGCGAAGAACAACTATGCGACGGACATACAGCTCCTGTTCAAGCGCCGGATCACCAACCTCTATCTGTCGACGGTGTCGCTCCGGTCCTACGTGGAGCTGAACTACTCGGGGTTCCGCAAGATTCTGAAGAAGTGCGTACGCCCCGAGCGATCTCGCGGCACCTTCTCACACACGCCACAGGTACGACAAGGTCACGGAGAGCGAGCTGCAGGACCACTACATGCACGATGTCGTCGAGCAAGCGCCGCCGTTCACGCAGCCGTCCAAGGACCGGCTTGCGGCCACGGCGAGCCTGCTTATCGCGCTGTACGCCAAGTGCGTGACCCGTGGGGACGCACAGGGCGCACAGCGGCAGCTGCGCCAGCACCAGCGCGAGCATATTGCGTGGGAGCGAGACACAGTGTGGCGGCAGATGATCGGGCGCGCACGCCGCGGGCGGGCGGACGACGAGAGCCCGAACGCGCTCGGGGGCAGCCTGGTGTTCGAGCCGGAAAAGGGCCTGCTGGACGTGCGCACGCGCGCGGGGCGTCTGCGCGTGACCACGAAGCAGCTGTACCTCCTGCTGGCC